CCCCAATCTCCATTTTTCCATTTTGGCCCATTTAAAAAAAAAAAAAAAAAAAAAAATCTAACCTTTAATTAAAGTTAAAAAAAGTGAAAGTGGGGGAAAATCACATTATGAAATAAATATGTTTCTCTAATACAGTAAGAGGACGTGTGTCTATATCGTCCTAATCCACGGTGAGGAGGAGAGTTTGAGTGGCCAAAGACTCCAAGGATCACAGCTAGAGAACTGCAGAAAATAGTTGAGTCTTGAGGCACAGGAAAAATGAAAAAAGGCAACATCTGGATCTGATTGTGTTCTAATACGTTATGAGATGCTATTATTCTTAGAAATTAATTTTAGCTTAATGGTATCTATTGAGGGCGGTCAGATTAATGAAACGGATGAGGCCTTTCTCCATTAAAGCATTACGCAGACCTGCCATTAAAGTATTACATGGTTAAGAGATCACATTCATTTAAGTTATGGGGATTTAGAAGCTCCTAGTCGTTTTCTAGAGTGAAATCTAACATTTTCATTTATGAAAAATCTGGTGATTAAATACCAGAGAAAATTACTCAACAGTTCCATTGTTACCTGTCCGGTGACATGTTTTGTTAACTGTTTTATTTACACTTTAATTTAGCAAGAAATGTAAAGATTTCCTTGATTTTAGTTTGCTCAAAAAAATAAATGCTACACGCATATGATTATGTATTGATATTTCAACATACTTGTGACGTTAGCGCTTATGAAGGAGGGTCTGTGATTTTGTCTCCACCCTGGTAATAAAGATAAAAGCATGTTAAGCAGGCAATGTGGCTCGATATTGCTCTTATCTTAGTAAAGTAATCCATCAGAGTGACCTGTGTGTCACTGGTGTGTTCAGAAAGTGAAGAGTCCTGTGCAGTTATTGCTGGGCTTGCCATGAAATCAAAGCTGAAGTTATGTATTACATTTTCCCCTCCCCTTGGTCACATTTCAAAGAATCAGTCAGATATTTATCTTTACCTAGAAGCATATGCATTTATTTATTTGTATATACACAATATCCTTTCTGCGTCACAAACATTCACAATATTTGTCTGTGCAAACATGGACATTCAGGCCGACAACAAGAAGCCAGAAGAATAACACTAATCGTGAAATGATGTATGCGCATGCATTTATTTTAAATTCTTGAGAGATGACATCCTAAGATCTCCAGAGATTTACACTAGATTTTAAAAACTCACTCAGTGATCTCCTTTTTCAAAGCATCTCACCCATATAACAGTTGCTGAAGCACAAACTCTTAAAGCATTATTATGTGTTGCTATCTAAAATCCAGCAGCAGAACATCTGGCTCATATGCCAGCGGTTAGGCATTAGAGAAATCCACAGGAATCTTTTAGAGCTGTAAGACTGGGAGGGTGTAGGGGAGAATATTTGTATTATATATTAGTGTATCTGTGCTCCATTATTGCAGTTTTTTTTTTAAAACCCCTATTAATGTTAAAGATGTTCATGTAACTTGGCTGGTAGAGCACGGCACTTGCAATACCAAGGACAGGGATTTCATTTCCAAGGGACACACATATTTAAATGTTTACCTTGAATGCACTTTAAGTTGTTTTAAAGCATCTTCTAATTGCATAAATATGAATGTAATGTTTAAAAGCATCACGGCACAAATGAGATTTGGTGACATTTTTAAATCTCTCCTACACACACATATAATAATATTAGTGCTGTCAAAACAAAAGATTAATCACAATTAACCGCATCCAAAATAAAAGTTGTTGTTTACATAATATATGTGTGTGTACTGTGTATATTTATTATGTATATATAAATACACACATGCATGTATATATTTAAGAAAAATATGTTACGTTTATATATTTAATATATTTATATATGATATAATTTATATGAATATATCAAAAATATATCAAAATATTTCTGCCGGAGATCCTGGATATCTTGTTCAGATAGATGGCATAATGGATTCTATAAAATACCAATGGATAAAAAAATTAAGAACTGACTGTCCATGCTAGAAATCTTATAATTGGCCATGGTTGGATCTTCCAACAGGACAATGATCTACAAACAAACATCAAAATCAAAACAAAAATGGGTCACTGAGAACAAAACTTCTGCCCTGGCCAACCCAGTTCCCTGAGCTGAACCCTGTAGAAAATGAGTGTGCTGAACTGAAGAGGAGAAACATCAACATGGAGCTGTGAATCTGAAGGGTCTGGAGAGATTCTGGATGAAGGGATGCTCTCTGATCTCCTGTCAGATGTTCTCTAAACTCTTCAGGCATTAGAGGTGAAGACTCAGAGCTGTTCTCTTGGAAAAAGGAGGTTGCAAAACGTATTGGATTAAAGGGTATGATTAATTGTGACCAATGTGTATTAGAGAAAAACATTTATTTCATAATGAGATTTCTCTCCCATTTTAAATTCTTATTATCCAATTAAAGGTTAGATTTTAGTAAATTTTTTAAATAAAATATCTAAAGGATTGATGATACAGATTAATTTCCACATCCTTCTTTGATCATATTTACCAAGGGTATGAATAATTTTGAGCACAACTTTATATTTCGGCTACCTCAAAACAGAAGTCCGCGAGCCCTGCTCCTCGTGTGACGTCAGCGCGATGAGAGGGGTTTGCCCCTCGCGCTTTAGGAGGGAACTACAGGATGAGATGAGCTCGTGCCGCCGCCCAATAGACACCCGCGATCCGGAGTGCGAGCAGGAGCAGCGACCTCCTCCCAATCAAGAGGCCGGAGTGCGAGCCTTTACCTGACCTCAATTCGGCTTGGATGCTTTAGCAACAATCGGCAGACTGAGCAAGCGAGAGAGGAGAGAGTGTGGGACAGAGACGGATATTTGGGATACAGCTGTCGCGCGTCCCGACTCTCGGTCTTGCAATGGGATGCACGTTAAGTGCAGAGGAGCGCGCGGCTCTGGACCGGAGCAAAGCGATCGAGAAAAACCTGAAGGAAGACGGAATGAGCGCAGCCAAAGATGTCAAATTACTGCTGCTGGGTAAGTCGTCCCAGGAATTAGGATGCTTTGTGTGTGTGTGTGTGTGTGTGTGTGTGTGACCACTGACACAGCCTGTGTCTCCGCAGGCGGAGGGGAGTCGGGGAAGAGCACCATCGTCAAACAGATGAAGTAAGTGAGGGGGTTTTAACATACTCCGTGATTGTGTGCCTTTTCATTTCGGTTCAGCCGTGTTTCTAAACGGTTAAAGGTTGGGAAGCGTTTGTGTCGCGCTGTTCAGTGTGTGGTAGTGCTGAAACAAGCGCAACCCAAGAGACGAGCGCTGAGTGTGTGTGTGTGTGTGTGTGTTAGTAGCATGTGTGCAGTGTACCTCGCCTCTGTCTCTGCTGTCTTGGGCTCCAGAGTTCCTTCATGTTTCACGTTTTTGTCATGTGCATTTAATCTGGATCCGGCATTTGTGTGTTGTGCCTTGTTATGCATTAAGGCCTTGTGTTCATTTTGTCCTCTGACAGTGTGTGCTTGAAAGAGAGTGAGAGAGAGTGTGTGTGTGTGTGTGAGGCATTAGAATCTTTCTCTGTATTAATCGTAATGGGTGGCTTTTAGTGCCTGATCCCTGCAGTCTTGTTCAGCGTTATCCGCCCATTAAACGGATTTACCAGGACTATGCCACCTAACCTTAAATTTTCATACCTATGGATGCACATACAACTATTTTAAACTCTTATGGCAGTTTTGACCAGCTGTGTTGTATTATTAAATATAATTTTACAGATCAAACTCATTTTACTGCACCAGCATCACTGCAGTTTTTGTAATTCAAAGCACCCACATCTATATCTCAGATTTAGGATTTATTTTAAGGTTTTAAATACACTCTTACTAGTTACAATTTAACTTTTTTTTTATTACTGTTATACATTTATTGTATAGTTACAGTTTAACTTGTGGTTTAAAATATTAAGGCGACCAACAACTTGGGCTATGTAACCTGTAGAAGCACAAGACTGATTGTTGCATAATCTCTAATCAAACTACTTCTGCCACCACATATTCCAGCCATATGCATATATGTACACACATAATTTCAGTTCTGTTGTGTTTGAATGGTTGCGCGTGTTTCTATAATGGCTATTCTCTGTTGTGTGTATGCGTCAGGATTATCCATGAAGATGGGTTCTCTGGAGATGACGTAAAGCAGTTTAAAACTGTGGTCTATAGCAACACCATTCAGAGTCTCGCCACCATCTTGCGAGCAATGGAAACTCTTGGTATAGAGTACGCAGACAAGGGTTTAAAAGCTTCACGGCACAAATGAGATTTGGTGACATTTTTAAATCTCTCCTACACACACATATAATAATATTAGTGCTGTCAAAACAAAAGATTAATCACAATTAACCGCATCCAAAATAAAAGTTGTTGTTTACATAATATATGTGTGTGTACTGTGTATATTTATTATGTATATATAAATACACACATGCATGTATATATTTAAGAAAAATATGTTACGTTTATATATTTAATATATTTATATATGATATAATTTATATGAATATATAAAAAATATATCAAAATATGTGCTGTATGTGTGTGTCTTTATATATACATAATAAATATACACTACACACACATATACTATGTAAACAAAAACTTTTATTTTGGATGTGATTAATTGCGATTAATCATTTGACAGCACTAAATAATATACATAATTATATAATTACACACAATTGTCACCTGTAATATTGTGTTTATAATCGTTCTGTAAACAAGTTATTGTCAAGAAATTGACTAATTTATGTTGCAGACAAAAATTGGTTTATTTTTATCTTTTCAAACAAAAGAAGCCAACACATTTAGTTTTTGCATATTGCCAACCAATGAACTATGGAAGCTTATTTGCACGTTAAGTGCAGAGGAGCGCGCGGCTCTGGACCGGAGCAAAGCGATCGAGAAAAACCTGAAGGAAGACGGAATGAGCGCAGCCAAAGATGTCAAATTACTGCTGCTGGGTAAGTCGTCCCAGGAATTAGGATGCTTTGTGTGTGTGTGTGTGTGTGTGTGTGTGACAGCACTGACACAGCCTGTGTCTCCGCAGGCGGAGGGGAGTCGGGGAAGAGCACCATCGTCAAACAGATGAAGTAAGTGAGGGGGTTTTAACATACTCCGTGATTGTGTGCCTTTTCATTTCGGTTCAGCCGTGTTTCTAAACGGTTAAAGGTTGGGAAGCGTTTGTGTCGCGCTGTTCAGTGTGTGGTAGTGCTGAAACAAGCGCAACCCAAGAGACGAGCGCTGAGTGTGTGTGTGTGTGTGTGTGTTAGTAGCATGTGTGCAGTGTACCTCGCCTCTGTCTCTGCTGTCTTGGGCTCCAGAGTTCCTTCATGTTTCACGTTTTTGTCATGTGCATTTAATCTGGATCCGGCATTTGTGTGTTGTGCCTTGTTATGCATTAAGGCCTTGTGTTCATTTTGTCCTCTGACAGTGTGTGCTTGAAAGAGAGTGAGAGAGAGTGTGTGTGTGTGTGTGAGGCATTAGAATCTTTCTCTGTATTAATCGTAATGGGTGGCTTTTAGTGCCTGATCCCTGCAGTCTTGTTCAGCGTTATCCGCCCATTAAACGGATTTACCAGGACTATGCCACCTAACCTTAAATTTTCATACCTATGGATGCACATACAACTATTTTAAACTCTTATGGCAGTTTTGACCAGCTGTGTTGTATTATTAAATATAATTTTACAGATCAAACTCATTTTACTGCACCAGCATCACTGCAGTTTTTGTAATTCAAAGCACCCACATCTATATCTCAGATTTAGGATTTATTTTAAGGTTTTAAATACACTCTTACTAGTTACAATTTAACTTTTTTTTTATTACTGTTATACATTTATTGTATAGTTACAGTTTAACTTGTGGTTTAAAATATTAAGGCGACCAACAACTTGGGCTATGTAACCTGTAGAAGCACAAGACTGATTGTTGCATAATCTCTAATCAAACTACTTCTGCCACCACATATTCCAGCCATATGCATATATGTACACACATAATTTCAGTTCTGTTGTGTTTGAATGGTTGCGCGTGTTTCTATAATGGCTATTCTCTGTTGTGTGTATGCGTCAGGATTATCCATGAAGATGGGTTCTCTGGAGATGACGTAAAGCAGTTTAAAACTGTGGTCTATAGCAACACCATTCAGAGTCTCGCCACCATCTTGCGAGCAATGGAAACTCTTGGTATAGAGTACGCAGACAAGGGCAGAACTGTATGTATATCACATGCACACGCTCTTGTGAACTGACTTTGAGATAATGAAGTGCAAGTGGCAAGTGTGATTTTCTTAAATATTCAAATAAAGTACATTTTTATAGTTTTTTTCCCCTGAAACATTTAATCTGAATGTATTATGTTTTATGTATCATTATATGTTTTACTTTTGTTCAAACATCTTAATACTTAGTAATATAATTGGATTGATTCAACAATACAAGGAGAAGAAAACAACAGGATGGTTTGCCTACTGTTACCAACAGTATATGCTTGTTTTGATTTGCAGTGTTCTTTAATGTTTGCATTAGATTTTCCTGGTGATTGAACTCACCTTGCATTACCCAAATCCCTCTTCCCAGAGGATGCACTGAGCTACAGTGACACCTAGTGCATTAATTAGAGAATATCATTGTGGTTGCCAATGCAATGCACATTTAGTGGGTGTCATTCTGCACTTATATGCATTTAACAGAATGTTTGTAACATTTGGCGTGTGTTTATAGGCAGATGCTAAGATGGTATTTGATGTGGTCGGTCGTATGGAAGACACAGAGCCATATTCAACAGAACTGCTGGCTGCCATGATGCATCTGTGGGCTGATGCTGGAACTCAAGCTTGCTTTAGCCGCTCACGAGAGTATCAGCTCAACGACTCAGCCCAATAGTAAGTCCCACTGTTATACACACATGAGACGATGCAACGAGCATGTCACTGTCAGGTGTAATGCTACACACCCTATGTATCATAATACATATTTAAAAATGCACATGGGTGTTCTGTGTTTCAGTTACCTAGACTGTTTGCAGCGCATTGGATCTCCAGATTACCTCCCCACTGAACAGGATATTCTTCGAACCCGAGTCAAAACCACTGGCATCGTTGAGACCCATTTTTCCTTCAAGAACCTTAACTTTAGGTATCTAGTGAATAGTTATGTTTCGTGAGTTAAATGCAGCATTTATTGGAAATTCAAAAATGAGGATTTTTCCAGGCCTCCTAAAAGCATGTTATTATACCTTATCAAACTCTATGTCTGCATAATATAAGCAAATATATAAAGCTGAATCTGAACCGGGTTCATCATTCAAATTATCAACACATATTGTCAAATCACCCAGCCCTAAAGTTGCTCAGTGTAAATTTGAAGACATATTAGTATAAAGCTGCTTTGAAACCGTGTTTATTGTAAAAAAGCACAATACAAATCTGACTTGACTTCATTTGTTTTTAATAAATTTTGAAAAAAAAAATGATTGGGAATATTTGTTGAATGAAAAGGCACTCAGATGTTAAATAGCAGAAATAAAAAAAAGATCTGTATAATCTGTATACGTTTTAAGAAATTGACATATGGATTTGGAAAATCATTCACTTTATCAGTGTGTTAGACAGTGCAAATCTGATATCTTTGGTCGACCTATTTTGTTTCTTAACATGCATTGTGTTTCTTGTGTATGTGCACACATGCATGTACATGGCTTTGCATGTGTCCTGAAAGTGTGTGATGTTTCGTCCCCAGGCTGTTTGATGTGGGGGGACAGAGATCAGAGAGGAAAAAATGGATTCACTGCTTTGAGGATGTGACAGCCATTATCTTCTGTGTGGCAATGAGTGGATATGACCAAATGCTCCATGAAGACGAAACCACGGTGAACTACTACACTTAGACTTACACCTGATCATTTAGACATGCTTGTACACTCACATTACGACATTTTGTGGTAAATTAGTTCAAAAAGCACTCTTGTTTATTTCTATCTTTGCATTTGCTATTTGTTCTCTAAAACAATCCTTTGGCGGTCAACCGGAAGTTGATCTGAATCACCAAAAAGTACATATAAATTGAGATAAAAATATAAACAGAGTTTAAATGCTCATGGTAATTATGCAGTTTGAAAAAATACAAATGTGTTTGATTCAATATTTTCTCTCTCTTCTCTGCAGAACCGTATGCATGAGTCTCTGATGCTCTTTGACTCTATATGTAACAATAAGTTCTTTGTTGACACGTCCATCATCCTCTTCCTTAATAAGAAGGACCTTTTTGGAGAAAAGATTGTGAAATCTCCACTGAATATCTGCTTCCCAGAATACACAGGTACAATAGCTATGCACACATGTATATAAGAAATTGACAGATATAAAAAAGGCTCAAAAAAACTCGCATCTCTTCATCTTTCCTGTAGGTCCAAATATATTCGAAGCGGCGGCTGCATATATACAGGGTCAGTTTGAAAGTAAGAATCGCTCCCCTAACAAAGAGATCTACTGTCATCTAACCTGCGCTACAGACACAGGAAACATCCAAGTGGTCTTTGATGCTGTCACTGACATCATCATCGCCAATAACCTGCGTGGTTGTGGCCTCTACTGAGCTCCAACTCCGCTTGTTGTCCTTCCAAATGGTAACAAGTGACTGAACTGACACCCCTGTGACTTTGGCCAAGGCACTCCCTTATTTCATTTCACTCTGTCAGTTTTTGTCTTTTGTTCAGAATATTTATCCCTTATTTTCCTTTGTAGTTTGTCAGTACATTTTGCTGGAGTAAATAACATATGGGTGTGCATGTATAGTGTAAAGATGAGCGTTTGGCCGGGCATAGATGCTTTAAGCATGAGTGCATGTGTGAGAGTGTAAGTCACAAGGAGTGAGAGTGTTTGTCAGGTGATAAAACACAAAGGTTCTCCAAGTGCTGGCATGATCCTAAACTAAAATGATCTGTGGTCTATAGCAACACCATTCAGAGTCTCGCCACCATCTTGCGAGCAATGGAAACTCTTGGTATAGAGTACGCAGACAAGGGCAGAACTGTATGTATATCACATGCACACGCTCTTGTGAACTGACTTTGAGATAATGAAGTGCAAGTGGCAAGTGTGATTTTCTTAAATATTCAAATAAAGTACATTTTTATAGTTTTTTTTCCCCTGAAACATTTAATCTGAATGTATTATGTTTTATGTTTTATGTATCAGTATATGTTTTACTTTTGTTCAAACATCTTAATACTTAGTAATATAATTGGATTGATTCAACAATACAAGGAGAAGAAAACAACAGGATGGTTTGCCTACTGTTACCAACAGTATATGCTTGTTTTGATTTGCAGTGTTCTTTAATGTTTGCATTAGATTTTCCTGGTGATTGAACTCACCTTGCATTACCCAAATCCCTCTTCCCAGAGGATGCACTGAGCTACAGTGACACCTAGTGCATTAATTAGAGAATATCATTGTGGTTGCCAATGCAATGCACATTTAGTGGGTGTCATTCTGCACTTATATGCATTTAACAGAATGTTTGTAACATTTGGCGTGTGTTTATAGGCAGATGCTAAGATGGTATTTGATGTGGTCGGTCGTATGGAAGACACAGAGCCATATTCAACAGAACTGCTGGCTGCCATGATGCATCTGTGGGCTGATGCTGGAACTCAAGCTTGCTTTAGCCGCTCACGAGAGTATCAGCTCAACGACTCAGCCCAATAGTAAGTCCCACTGTTATACACACATGAGACGATGCAACGAGCATGTCACTGTCAGGTGTAATGCTACACACCCTATGTATCATAATACATATTTAAAAATGCACATGGGTGTTCTGTGTTTCAGTTACCTAGACTGTTTGCAGCGCATTGGATCTCCAGATTACCTCCCCACTGAACAGGATATTCTTCGAACCCGAGTCAAAACCACTGGCATCGTTGAGACCCATTTTTCCTTCAAGAACCTTAACTTTAGGTATCTAGTGAATAGTTATGTTTCGTGAGTTAAATGCAGCATTTATTGGAAATTCAAAAATGAGGATTTTTCCAGGCCTCCTAAAAGCATGTTATTATACCTTATCAAACTCTATGTCTGCATAATATAAGCAAATATATAAAGCTGAATCTGAACCGGGTTCATCATTCAAATTATCAACACATATTGTCAAATCACCCAGCCCTAAAGTTGCTCAGTGTAAATTTGAAGACATATTAGTATAAAGCTGCTTTGAAACCGTGTTTATTGTAAAAAAGCACAATACAAATCTGACTTGACTTCATTTGTTTTTAATAAATTTTGAAAAAAAAAATGATTGGGAATATTTGTTGAATGAAAAGGCACTCAGATGTTAAATAGCAGAAATAAAAAAAAGATCTGTATAATCTGTATACGTTTTAAGAAATTGACATATGGATTTGGAAAATCATTCACTTTATCAGTGTGTTAGACAGTGCAAATCTGATATCTTTGGTCGACCTATTTTGTTTCTTAACATGCATTGTGTTTCTTGTGTATGTGCACACATGCATGTACATGGCTTTGCATGTGTCCTGAAAGTGTGTGATGTTTCGTCCCCAGGCTGTTTGATGTGGGGGGACAGAGATCAGAGAGGAAAAAATGGATTCACTGCTTTGAGGATGTGACAGCCATTATCTTCTGTGTGGCAATGAGTGGATATGACCAAATGCTCCATGAAGACGAAACCACGGTGAACTACTACACTTAGACTTACACCTGATCATTTAGACATGCTTGTACACTCACATTACGACATTTTGTGGTAAATTAGTTCAAAAAGCACTCTTGTTTATTTCTATCTTTGCATTTGCTATTTGTTCTCTAAAACAATCCTTTGGCGGTCAACCGGAAGTTGATCTGAATCACCAAAAAGTACATATAAATTGAGATAAAAATATAAACAGAGTTTAAATGCTCATGGTAATTATGCAGTTTGAAAAAATACAAATGTGTTTGATTCAATATTTTCTCTCTCTTCTCTGCAGAACCGTATGCATGAGTCTCTGATGCTCTTTGACTCTATATGTAACAATAAGTTCTTTGTTGACACGTCCATCATCCTCTTCCTTAATAAGAAGGACCTTTTTGGAGAAAAGATTGTGAAATCTCCACTGAATATCTGCTTCCCAGAATACACAGGTACAATAGCTATGCACACATGTATATAAGAAATTGACAGATATAAAAAAGGCTCAAAAAAACTCGCATCTCTTCATCTTTCCTGTAGGTCCAAATATATTCGAAGCGGCGGCTGCATATATACAGGGTCAGTTTGAAAGTAAGAATCGCTCCCCTAACAAAGAGATCTACTGTCATCTAACCTGCGCTACAGACACAGGAAACATCCAAGTGGTCTTTGATGCTGTCACTGACATCATCATCGCCAATAACCTGCGTGGTTGTGGCCTCTACTGAGCTCCAACTCCGCTTGTTGTCCTTCCAAATGGTAACAAGTGACTGAACTGACACCCCTGTGACTTTGGCCAAGGCACTCCCTTATTTCATTTCACTCTGTCAGTTTTTGTCTTTTGTTCAGAATATTTATCCCTTATTTTCCTTTGTAGTTTGTCAGTACATTTTGCTGGAGTAAATAACATATGGGTGTGCATGTATAGTGTAAAGATGAGCGTTTGGCCGGGCATAGATGCTTTAAGCATGAGTGCATGTGTGAGAGTGTAAGTCACAAGGAGTGAGAGTGTTTGTCAGGTGATAAAACACAAAGGTTCTCCAAGTGCTGGCATGATCCTAAACTAAAATGATCTCAAAAACCCGGAAGGATCACTGACTTGCAGGCTTAAAATCTAAAAATATTGAGTGACTGTGAGCAAGATATATGGTGAATCATTTAGAAGAGCCGAATGTCATTTCAGAAACTGAATGTTGTCCAGGGGCAGCTCTTTAAGCCAAAGTTGTTGGGAGACCTGGCATCGCCCCTTTTTGGGACTTCTCACTGGCGTCAGGCTGTGACATATAATGCCTTTCAGCGAATGAAGCCTCTTACAAAGTGTGATGTTGACAACATTCTCACTCAACATGAGCACAAATAGTTCCAAATCTTATCAGTTGTTTATTTCTGTATAAATTATTCTGTAGTTTATTTATTTATATAACTATAAGCGCATGTATTTACATATTTTGTATCGCCCCACACTTTGTGCACCCTATCAGTGTCGGGCAATGAATACAAACGAACTAGCTTACAGACTTTAGATGGAGAACAGCGTAAATATTAAGACAGTCATTCAGATTCATATATAACTGAATTACTGAACGAATGAGCTATTGCTTCTTTTGAACTCACTCTCTTTAACTGATGACATGATGTGTGAGCGTGTGTACAGATGCGTGTGTGCGTGTGTGATGCATGCACACTCTTTATTCAACCATGACCTGTTACTTAACCCAGATTTCTTTTCCTCTTTCTCTGCTGTGGATGGCAAAGTTGTGCAGAATTGAAGGAAGAAACCTCAAAGACAGAGCCAGAAGGATGCTGGACAGGTAAAGCCTACAAATCTCGCCACATTAATCAAACATTGTGGTGTCAATACTCAATAAGCTACAACGCAAATCAGACATTTTAAAAAAGAATTCCTTTACTGGTCATTTTGAAATGTCAAACTTTGTCCGCAATTGTTAACCACCTCAATCTGTATTATATTTTAGGGTTTTAAAAAAATTCCCTCATGTCCAAATTCAACATGAAGGGGGTGGTCCGGGCATCCAAGCAAAAGAGAATGACTCCCTGTCACAATTAGTGTAATTAAAGTAAACAATTATGTCAAGCTTTTCTTGTGCTTTTTTTTCTTTTCTTATTTGGCAGATGCTGTGATGACCATTGTTTTTATATTTTTATTATCTTAAGTTGTTAAAAATTCCAGATTTTTAATCATAATATTTATATTTAAGTGTATTGTATTTAGAAAATTTAATTTTGTCATTAATTCTTTTGTATTTTTATCATTTTGTATTGTCTTAAGTTGTCCAAGTTGTTAAAAATTTTATTTTTCTTACTAAAAGCTGTATATTGAATTTGTTTGGATGGATTGCCATTTTGTCGTCTATTAGACGTATATATGTAGTCGTTTAATAGTGGTCTAATTGATGACTAGTCTATTCTTGGGCTATGATTAGACGTCTATAAATTTTCACTGACAGCCCAAATTTGGCCTAGACGTCTGGGCTGTGTTTAGATGGCTAATAGACGTCTTTTAAATGCAAAATTGCTTGCTGGGTTCAGATATGTGACCCTGGACCACAAAACCAGTCATAAGTAGCACGGGTATATTTGTAGCAATAGCCAACAATGCATTGGTCAAACATTGGCTACATGGGTCAAAATTATCGATTTTTCTTTTATGCCAAAAAATCATTAGAATATTAAGTAAAGATCATGTTCCATCCATGAAGATATTTTTTAAATGTCCTACTGTAAATATATCAAAACTTAATATTTTATTAGTAGTATGCATTGCTAAGAACTTCATTTGGACAACTTTAAAGGCAATTTTTTCAGTATTTTGTTACCCTCAGATTCCAGATTTTCAAATAGTTGTATCTCAGCCAAATATTGTCCTATCCTGACAACCCATATATCAATCAATGGAAAGCGTATTTATTCAGCTTTCAGATGTATTATGTATGTATGGTTTTGTATGGTTGCGTGGTCCAGGGTCACCTATGATGATCACCTTGTGAGGGACCCAATTCCTCAAATATAAATGCTGTTTTGCATGAATACATTTGACACTGTGTGTGTGAGTATTGAGACATCACAAAGACAACCTGAAAATGTTTTTTCTATTTAAAGCTCCAAAATTCACAAGTAAAATATAGAACAATAATATATATTCATAGTACATATATACATTCTCTGTTTGTCATTTTTATTCGTTTTTTTTTTTATATTACTATTTTACATTTATTTTAGTTCGGTTATAGTTCTTATTTATTTCCAGTTATTAATTTTACTGCTTCAACTGAAACATATTTCAGTCAGTTGCCAAGGCAACATCTAATTTTATTATTATTATTATTATTATTATTATTATTATATCAAAATATTTTGTTATATCACATTATCAAACCAAAGTTATCTGACCTAAATAAATAAATAGCTTCAAAATTTCAAAAAAGAAAAAAAAGAACAGAAATGGAGTGTTAGTTGGTTACAAAAATGTAGCAAACATTGGTTATAAATGTAGCAAACAGCTCATTCTTAGGTTGTAACGTTTTAAGTAAGATACTGAAAAATGATTACAAAAATATTTGTGTTAATAATATTGAGATCCTTTCCAATCAGAATTAAAGGGGTCATATGATGTGATTTCAATTTTTCCTTTCTCTTTGGAGTGTTACAAGCTCTTGGTGCATAAAGAAGATCTGTAAAATTGCAAAGACTAAAGTCTCAAATCCAAAGAGATATTCTTTATAAAAGTTAAGAGTCCTAACTGTGGGGGGCCTCGTTTGTAATGGGTTTTAATGTTTTTGTCTCGTTGCTCCGGTGTTGTGTAATATTCAGTTCCTGTCAAAAACTGTTCCAGTGGGTGGAGTTTACGTGATTATTTATTAGTTCCCCTAATGTGGGCGTGTCCTTGAAACAACGCGCAAACGAACAGAACTGAAAATATTAGTGCAGGCTTCTCCAATCACTACGTGTTTAATGGATTATTTCGAAAAGGTAATGAAGTATCTCTGTTTAGCATTAAAGCACTAACTGCAACAGTGTCAAAACAGCATAGTTTGTGTAATAATATGATAAATCGTCTAAGCTGTTTTGCCTGATTACAGCAAAACAAACAATAATCGAATAACTTATGCTAACCTGGGCTAATATAGGTTTATTTTTTATTTTTGACGTGTTTAGCTTTTAGGTAACACTTTATTTCGATAGTCCACTTTAGACGTTCTATTAACAGTAAGTAACTTTGCAACTACATGTCAACTAGCAGTTAGTAGAGTATTAGT